TAAAAAAATCTTATCTTCGTATATTTTCTTTTGTAATCCTGAATCTTCTAAAGAATCAGAATTAAAAAGAAAAATATACGAAGATAAGATTTTTTTATTGACTGGTAAGATCGATCAAGAACGCAGGATATTGCGTAACGAGGTTCAGGATTTAAAAAGAAATATAAGAGTGATTTGTCGAGTGCGTCCACCAACGCCAAGCCAAGCTCCCTAACTAAAGCTTGGGAGTTTCTTTCGGCGTTTGTGGACGCACTCGACAAATCACTCTTATATTGCCTTTTAAATCCTGAACCTCGTTACGCAATATCCTTGCGTTCTTCATCGAACTTATCGATCTTCAGAGAGCTTGACGACCAATTTCAAATTTAATGTCTCCTCCGAAAGATAGCCCAGTTTTCTCCGCACGAGCCCCAATTGTGCGGGGGGTGCAGTTTAGAATATAAAAATTCCTGTGATCAGGTGGACTCGAACCCGGTTCCTCGGAGTTACGAGTCTGGCGCTTTACCACAAGACCACACTGCCACCCTGCTCAACCATTAAGTGATTTGCCACATGTTCAGCAAGCGGCATTGTATATAAACATATCTTATTAATTCCGGATTACACGAAAATGTAAATGCGTAGGTATACTAACACATCGTCCGTAATTTATAGTGATATAACTTCACAGAGTATTGATAATCAACATCTATATATAATTAACCGATATTTAATATCAATTACAAACTTAAAATTACGAAGCTTACTTTCTAAATCTGAATCAGTGAATAATACTGCTGAATCAGTAACTATTCACTGATTTAGATTTAGAGAGTACATGTGACATATACGCGTTTCGATTTTGTGTAATTCAGTTCACACAAAAATTAGATACATACAACTTAATTATGCATATACAAATTATACATATACAATTTTGTACAATTGACCATTTTCGCGCGACAGAATATATTGTTTTATAGATAATTTAGTGTTATGTTATTACAATTTTACACAGATAAATTTAAATGTCTTAAAATTATAAAAGAAATTAATTTTTGTTCATTGTTGAATCACACCCTCCCGCTTTATCCCTACCTACCCGTATCCTTACTTATTCCTACTTAAGTCCCTTACAATTGTAATATTAATCAAGTTTCTTTTAATTGTCGAAAATTACACTCCCCCATATCCCTATCTACCCGTACTTTTGCTTATTTCGTTTTTTTATCTATCCGATTTTCATCTAATTTTTACCCGTATTCCTACCTACCCGTATCTCTACGTATTATAGTACACCTATAGTATATAGTTACAACCGCGATTACTCGTAATCAGACAAGCGCTCGCAAATTTTAAATCGGGTTTTTAATCGGTTTAAATTACTTAAAAGGATCATTTAAAAGTATTATTGAGAGTTTTATTTATGCGGAATAGAAATGTAATACAAGACACGACACACACAGAAAAATAATCATTCTACAGCCAAGCAGTAAAGCACTTTACTTATTTTATTTTATTTTTTTTAAGTAAGTTTTCTTTCAACTAAAAATATTTTCTTACTAATAGTTTTTAAATATCTTGACACAAGTCAAGAATATTGTTTTGAGTAAATATAATTCTTACAATGACTTTATGGTAGATTTGCGGATTAAGTAAATGGTAAACTTGTATATCCGCAAATCTACCACAAATAAAGTCATTGTAAAAATTACATTTACTCAAAACAGTATTCTTAACTTGTGTCGAGATATTTGAAAACTATTACTAAGAAAATATTCTTGGTTGAAAGAAAACTTACTTAAAAGAAGTAAAATAATATAAGTAAGTGCTTCTCTTGGCTGCAGAATGATTATTTTTCTGTGTAAATATTTTCGTCTCTCTGATTATACGTACAATCGAACGTATATAGATAACCTTACAAGCTTACCTTTACCTGTATTTTTTATACTTTGGTTGATGTGGTACACCAACCAACGTCGATTCTCTTCGTTTTCATTTTTCTGGCTAGAGTATAGTATAAACTCACCTTTTATAGCACCTGGCCGTATTCTGGCTATAACCAGAGATCGGCAGCAAGGAGAAATACTCCTGCTGCTACAGTCAATAAGCGTAAGATTTTACGCTTTCGTATGATGCGCGAGACACGAACGCGTCGCGAAGAGGCCATCACATTAATTAAATTAATTAAATACACAGAAAAAAAGAAGTGTCAAATCAACACTTATATACTTATATGTACGTAAGAATATTTAATCTTGAAATGAGAGAAATTATATTACATTAAATGAAGAAAACTTGCTTGAATAAAGTCATTTATATAATTAAATGAAGTTTTATATACATAGTTTATTCAAAAAAAAATTTTTAATTTAAAAATAAATGAATAAAAATTGCTAGACGCGCTATTCGATAGAATCTAAGGCCATATGCGTATTTTCATCGATTCGAACGGTTTGTTGCTGAATCTCATCTCAAAAGCATGCAGAAACGAGAAATTCAGATAAATGACGTAAGATCCGAAAGGGATAATAAATTTCCCACACAATTAGAATTTATTAAAATTATTTTTAAATAATATAAAATTAATTGGTTGTAAAATAATTATCTAGATTATTAACTAAGGAAAAATCTTCTATTTTATAACAATAAATATATGTATGTATTAGATCTTACGTCATATTACTGCTTTAACTGGTAAAATCCAGTTATCAATTATCTCAATTGATATGTTAATTTATCACTCACCAATCCCGATGCGCAACAGCGGAATTATAACTGCCACGTAGCTATGTTGATTCTGTAACAAACAAATATAAAATTTGTATTAAAACAGTAATTAAAAAACTCAATATTTTAAAACATAATTTATATAGCATCGAACATTTTATTCATTATTTAATTGGATATTTATTTTAATAATTACATATTTCCGAAAATGATATTTACAAGAATCACAATTTTTATAAAAGACTAAATTACTTCTTTTCTTCCAACTATTATTTCTAAATCATGATAAAATAAAAAGGCTCGAGAATAAACAAAAAAAATTACTCTTGCACAAAATAAAAATTAATATTTACCACAAAGTTGCTTCGCTGGCGCCCGATGCCTCTCCCAGGCCTCCTCCTCCTCTCAAGCTATCCTCTCGGGTTGTCAGCTCTCTCGATGCGACACTTTCTGCGTCGTTTTCTTCTAAAGCATATATATAAATGATTTATTATTAAATAATTTTTACGCACATCAAATTTCTTAATCATCATTTAATTAAAAATATATAATTTATTTAAATAAATATACATTTTCCGAAAAAGATCTTTACAAGGCTGAACTTTTATAAAATTTCACAAAGTACTTCTCTCTAATTATTTTTAAATCATGATGAAATAAAACAACTCAAGAATAAAAGAAAGAGAACTGATTTTACACAACATAAAAAATAATATTTACTGTAAACGACGTCACTAGATTGATTCGCGCGATAGATCTTATATGTACAATAGGACGGACAAGGCTTTCGCGAAACACGCGTTCGAACGGATTATCAATTTCCGAGTGCTGAATCTATACTTCGCGATAGCTATTGATTGCTATGAATGTGAAATGCAAAGTTAATGCATGTTACATACTTACCAATTAAATAAGTCGTGCCACTCGTTCGGAGCGGATCCATCTCCGTCTCGTATTCGTCGCATTCTGGAAATCTGGAAAAGCAGAACGTATAAATTAATATAGCGGAGGCGCTTCGTCTCTCGCGCGCGGTTAACTCGCGCCGAAAGCGCCGCGGCGCACGGCGTCACTATACGCGTCCTACTCTCAACTTTACGATCACAAACTTTCCGAACTTCGAAAATTAAATATTATAAACTCGACTGTTATCACGGTTGTTATTCTGCATTCTAGCGAATAGCATATTAATATTTTTGGCAAATATCCTTGATATTCGCGACACTCGAAAGTATACGGTCGTCAGTCGTCACTTTCGCGATTGCTCGCGCGACGCGTCTTCGGTCGTACAAAAGTACCGCGGAATACGTATTTTCAAGAAATATATCAATACCCGAGCTCTAAATCTATACTACGCGATAGATGCTGTAGTTAATATAACGCACGCAAGGTTAATATCTGTTGTACGTACCAATTAAATGAGCCGCGACGCCACTCGTTCCGGAGCCGATCCGTTCCGTGTCAGCCGCCTTCTGGAAATGGAAGGAGAAGGTCATACGTCATCAATATGGCGGAGGGTTCGTTCCCGCGCGGGCAACTTTGTGCACCGAAAGCGCCGCGGCGCGCGGCGCGGCGGCGGCGCTACGCGTCGCACTCTCAACTTCGCGCTCACGAACTTACCGAAAATCATATAATAAACTCGCCTATTAATACGATTGTTATTTTGCATGTTTTCTAACGAATCCAGCGTATTAATATTTTATGCGCGATATTCGCGACCCTCGAAAATGCGACCGTCACTTTCGCGATTGCTCACGCGACGCGCCTTCGGTCGTACGACAAGTACCGCGGAATACGTATTTTCGAGAAATATCAATACCCGAACTCTAAATCTATACTACGCGATAGATGCTGTAGTTAATATAACGCACGCAAGGTTAATATCTGTTGTACGTACCAATTATTGAGCCGCGACGCCACTCGTTCCGGAGCTGATCATCCGTTCCGTCAGTTCCGTGTCAGCCGCCTTCTGGAAATGGAAGGAGAAGGAGAACGTCATACGTCATCAATATGGCGGACGCTTTGCGCGGGCAATTTAAGTGCGCCGAAAGCGCCGCTCCCGCGGTGTTACTACACGTCCCGTTTTTACTTTCGCGTTTATGCGTTTTTCTCATTTTAACAATAAATGCTATACGCTTGCCTCACACAGCAGTCATCATTTTTCCCTTTGTGATCCTGATATAAGTTTAAACATATAGATATAAGTTGATATTGTAGATTTGTAGTTTGATAACTGCAATATTTGCAATATCGTTTAATAATGTAATCGCTTTGTCGAATATTCACACGAAACATCTTCGGCCGAATAGTCTTGCGAAATATGCGTTCTAATAGATCGTCAATGTACGAAGTTGATACGGGTTTTGCTTACTAATTAAACGAATTACGACGCCAGTTGTCCCGAAATCAATTTGTTCCGTGTCCATTACGTTCTATTAATAATGACGAAATATATGAGTATATGCAACTTTGATACGTGACACTGCGTGAGTCAAGTGGATGACTGATAAAAGCGTACAATTTATTATTTATCTTTATTTAAAACAATAAGCTACAATACTAAGATCAGAGAGAACCGAATACATCACACATATAATTATATGAATATATGTGTGTGGCGTGTCAAACGGTCCAATATATATATTTATCGACAGTGCCAGACAATGTGTATGCCAAATAGTTCCAACGTCGAAAATGATTGTGTGTGGCGTATCAGGCAGTCCAGTAAAACGGTATCAAGCAGAACGCCGCGCTGGCGTGGCCGCCTCATGTTTCTCTCTGATTTCGTTAACCTGTGTCTTCCCGCCAAATTTCCATCAGTCTTGTGTTTACATCAGCTTCTATTTATCAGTACTTTTCTGAACTCATATATAGCGTGTTTTGTTATAATTCATTGAAACAATGGATGCTGCTCCTCCACAAGCTGTTCGAGCACATGTGCGAGATGAGGTCGGGGTCAAGTGTCAGAAATTGTTTCAGGATTTCCTGGAGAGGTAATTTCTTTATAGGTTGAATATCTTCAACACTACAAAAGTTTATTTAACTTAATTCGTTTTGTTTGGACTAAAATTGGTAACTAATACTTTCTTAATTGACTTTTTTATCACAGATTTAAGGAATTTGAGGTTGTTAAGTATCTGGAGCCAGCTAAAGAGCTTGTCAGTCCAGAACGCTGTACCCTGGAGGTGTCTTTTGACGATACGGAAGCATTTAATCAAACACTCGCTACAACTATAATTGAAGAATACTACAGGTTGTATAATCAGTAATCACTGTCTTTTTTTACTTAGGAGAAATAAAAATAAGGATCTGTTTGTGTTCTAGAGTATATCCATTTTTATGTCAAGCAGTGAGCAACTTTGTTAAAGATGTGGGAAATTTGCAGAAGGATAAGGAATGTTACGTCAGTTTTACCGAAGTACCTATTAGGCATAAATTAAGAGAATTAAATACATCACTGTTGGGTACTTTGACTCGTATATCTGGACAGGTCGTACGAACGCATCCTGTTCATCCAGAATTGGTCCTTGGCACATTTATTTGTATGGACTGTAACGCATATATTAAAAATGTGGAACAGCAATTTAAGGTATATATAATATAAAGTTTATATATAACATAGGATTTTGATTAACTTTGGTGCAGCTGTTTCTAATTTTCATTGTTTCCAGTTTACAAATCCAACAATCTGCTCTAATCCAGTATGTAGCAATAGACGTCGTTTCCTGTTAGACGTGGATAATTCGGTGTTCGTCGACTTTCAAAAAGTGAGAATTCAAGAAACACAAGCTGAACTTCCTCGAGGCTCTATACCCCGCTCTGTTGAAGTCATTCTGAGATCTGAGATAGTCGAGATGGTACAAGCTGGCGACAGGTAGGTATAAAAATACAGATGTTTTAACGAATGAAATTGTAAACTTTAATAACCTTATTCTTATTTTTACAGATATGATTTTTCAGGAACTCTTATAGTAGTGCCGGATGTAGGGGCATTAACTTTACCGAGTGCCAAGGCAGAAATTGGACCAAGAAATAGAAATAGTGAACAGAGGGAAGGTGTGTCTGGCCTTAAGGCGCTTGGTGTTAGGGAACTGACGTATAAAATGGCATTTCTCGCCTGCAGCCTTACCAATACGAGCGCAAGGGTAGGCAAAATCAACGAGTAGATAAAATATACGCGTCTGTTTTTTTGAAAATATTTATTTTATATTGTTACAGTTTGGAGGAACAGATGCGATGGAAGAAATTTCGCAAGAAGCAATGAAAAAACGAATGACGGAAGCAGAGTGGAATCGTATCTACGAGATGAGTCGCGATAAAAACCTGTACTCAAATATAGTTTCCAGTCTGTTTCCCGCTATACACGGTAACGATGAAATTAAAAAGGGGGTCACGCTGATGTTCTTTGGCGGTGTAGCGAAAACCACGGAGGAGGGCACGTCGCTGAGAGGAGATATCAATGTCTGCATCGTCGGTGATCCCAGTACCGCCAAGTCGCAATTTCTTAAATGTGTAGCCGACCTTTCGCCCAGAGCAGTTTACACGTCTGGAAAAGCGTCAACTGCAGCTGGTTTGACGGCTGCAGTTGTACGAGACGAAGAATCTTCGGACTTTGTCATAGAAGCTGGAGCGTTGATGCTCGCGGATCATGGCATCTGCTGCATTGATGAATTCGATAAAATGGATCCGAAAGATCAAGTCGCGATTCACGAAGCTATGGAACAGCAGACAATTTCAATAACTAAGGTATTTAATATACAGATAATTTTATACACTATACATCTATATAATGTACAGAGAATTTTATGTACTAGAGCTCGCATATGTTTCTAGGCCGGTGTGAGAGCAACTTTAAATGCTCGAACTTCTATACTAGCGGCAGCAAATCCCATCGGTGGACGATATGACAGAAGAAAATCATTACAGCAAAATGTACAATTAACCGCACCTATTATGTCGAGATTTGATTTGTTCTTTGTAGTGCTGGATGAATGTAATGAAATCGTCGATAACGCGATTGCTAAGAGAATCATAGATTTACATTGTGATAACGTGAACGATATTCAAGTCGTGTACCAACAAGATGAGATTATTAGATATATGAATTTTGCTAAACAGTTTAAGCCCATTTTAAGTCAGGTGAGATACATTGGATTAAATTATTTAATGATATCAAATCAGCATTATTGTTCTTACCAAATTTTTGTAGGAAGCTGCTGAGCTTTTAGTCGAAAATTACACAGCTCTCAGACAAAGAACAGGTAGTGGAAGCGGCAAATGGAGGGTCACTGTGAGGCAGTTAGAGAGCATGATTAGATTGTCCGAAGCATTGGCGAAAATAGAATGCATGGACGAAGTGACAGTAAAGCACGTCAAAGAAGCGAAACGATTGTTACAAAAGAGTATAATTACGGTAGAACAGCCTGATGTAGACCTCGAAGAAGGAGTGAACGACGCAAACTTAGGAATGGACATCGATGACCAGCCACCTCCGCTCATGGCAGCATTTGTTGCTGACGGCAACAATGATGCACCGCCTTCAACACGTATGTCTACGTAATTCTTTTATTGCATATAGCGTACCTATTGTCTTTATATACATTTATTTTTATATTTACTTTTATTGATTGTTTAGCGTCTAACGAAACGCCGCACGAACCGTCAAAGAAAAAATTAACTCTATCCTTTGAGGAATATAAGAATCTGTCGAACATGTTAGTGCTTTATATGAGAGGCGAGGAAAGTCGTGTCGAAAGTGAAGGTATTTTTATTACTACATTGACAATAGAAATAAGTACCACTATCAACTTTTTATCGTATGTTATCTGTTAAATTAATATTTTTATAGATGACAATAAGGGTGGCATGCGGAAATCCGAATTAATTGCGTGGTATCTTGATCAAGTACAAGATCAACTAGATTCAGAAGAGGAGTTATTAGACCGGAAAAACTTTATTGAGAAGATTATCGATAGATTGACGTATCATGTATGTATTAACATCTTCATATATTTTATAGTCGGCACATTTGCATTTTATAACAGTACATTTCACAATTTTATTTTTAGGATCAAATTATAATACCTTTAACAACGACTAGCTTGAAAAGCAAAGATAGAGGAGACGAAGAAGAGGAGGATCCTTTACTCGTTGTTCATCCCAATTATGTCATGGATATATAATTTTAAGAATTGATGTACCTTGAGAGAAAGCGCATTATTTTATAAAAAGTAATTATACGTTCAGAAATATTCTTTTATCTTAATGTATTAATGCCATATTTTTTTACCTAAATTCCATAAATGTTATAAATTTTATGGAATTATTTTTAACGATTGTGAAAATGATAAAACACATTTTTACAGCATTGTTAAAGCATTTATTCATTCCTTATATTCCACTTAAACACCTCAACATGGAGGATATAAAACAACTTGTTTGCTATGATCTCACATATTTAACATTACTCATACATGAAATGAATAAATCAATCTGATTACGACATGTATCAAGATATGAGCAATATCTTTGTTAACACGTCTATTCCTTAGTATTTCGTTTTCTATTTTTAGGATGCAAAGATCAAAATATCTATTATTTGTTTAAACATGACGTACTATTTATGAATCATAGAATGCATAAACTCGGCTTGTACCTATTCCAAGAGTACATCAATTAACATGGTGTAAGTAATGATAATTAACGTACCATGACTTATGGTGCGCTAGTTAACACGCAGTTTAATGTGCCTGTTAGAAAGCGAAACCATCTGTTCTAGATCGAATGTTGAAATCAACAGTAGCTTCAATAGCTTTAGTAGGTTCGGATCGTCGTTTTAACTGCATCTATACGATATTAAAAGAGATGTTTATATGAACTTAATCTATTTTAAACATAAGGCTAATAAATCTTTACATTTCAAAAATTACATCTTATTACAAAGACATTCATATAATCAGTTAATGAAAATTTTTGAATTATAATCTTTAAGATCTTGTCACATGATTCATATAATTAATGGTTTCTATTAAAGTTTAATTATTTATAAATTCACGCGGCTATATGATCGGCAGACTGTTACTTCTATATTAGTGTTCGTTGTTTTAATGCGATGTAGCACGTGAGACTACAGCACGTATGAGGATATAACACGTGCTTTTATTGCTGTTTAAATATACGCAAAGCACGCTACAAATGTGTTAACTGTGTATGGTGGGGGTGCTCTGTGCAGTAATTAAGAACGTCACTTTGTCGTACGATTTTAATATTATTTGTCGATACGCGATGTCTGCGAAAGAGGTACCGATAGCAGAATTGCAACAAGTGAGTTATTTGAAATTTGACAATATGTTGTTATAGTTGTAAAGTGCAAAATTATTGATGACGCGCAGTTTTGTAACAGCTAGATTATCGAAGATCTGTTTTGATAACTTTTCTATTTACGCTCAGTGATACAGTGATACGACTTCAGTCATTGCTGGAAGTACCCGAAAAATTTCATTAATTGTCTTCAACGCGGAACGTAATTTTATATTTAGTTATTCACGATTTATTTATATCTGTTTTTAATATAAACTAATAGCTTCTCTTATTTGAAAACTTGTTTGTATTTAAATTGTATTGTGTGTCATTTTTAACAAATCGCGGTTTTTTTTATATTAGCATCTTGATAGTTTCAAAATGGAATTTTGTAATAGAAAAGACGAACGTCTCGCGACACATCGTTTTTTTTATTAAAGATTCCTTGAAAAGGAATACTATTTTACATTTGTTGAAAAATATGCAAAAAGTTTTTATAGAAAGTATATTTAACAAATAAAATAAATCCGACAGAAAAAAGTATGGGTACCTTTCGTTGGCGACTTTGCGATTTTGAAGGAATTTTTCGCGCACAAAAGGCGGCGAGTTTGGCACGCAGTGCAATTATTTGACGCTTTTCTGCGTGGATTTGGACAGGTGAGTGGTAAAATTCAATGTATCACATATAATATTCAATATGATATCATGATTTTCATAATTTGTAGCTATCTTTGAAAATGTATATTGTTATAGTTCCGTTATAGTTCCGTTAGTTTTTGCGTTGAGATAAACGCAGAAACAAGAAAATTAGAATATTAAAAAATTTCTTCGTAATTTTCATTAATGAAAGAAGAAGGGTATTATATTATTTTTACAAAAATTTACTTTATTATTATTAATACTGGAGATTAATCTGTATCTATATTTTTACCGTAAAAATCAAAAGCAATCTCAAAAATTATAAGTGAAAAAGACGTTACAACTAAATAAGATTTATATTTTAGTACGGTGGAATTCTAAGTTATGATTCGTGCGTTTCAAATCCCTTGTACCGAATATAGATTTTAATATTTTACTCTTGAGCAACTCAGAAATCAGTCATTTTTCGAAAGCAAGTTATAACTTTGTGATGCAACAGAATTCGACATCAGCACTTGTTCCGCACTTACATATATCTTTCTTTTTCTCTCTCTCTCTCTCTTTATATATATATCTTTCTAAGACAGGTCGCATATGGAGTAATATGCAATATATAGTGTGAACATTGTCTTTGGCATTGATCCCTTCATAATCCATATTTTTTCGTTTCCTGTAAATTAATGGCAACAGCAACACATTTCTAATGTATATGTATGAATAGTTTGCCACACCTTACAGGCTATGACGTATTTTTTTTTAATATGATAGCAATTATGTGATACATTTCAGACGCAAGAGTTTGCCACGCCTTGCATACTATGACGTATTTTATAAGATTTCTGTGCATTATACTTGTGTATTATACCTGAGTATTATATCTGTGTGTTATACCGGGACGGGTTTAAGTGGTATTTAGATTGTCATGGAACCACTGCCGAAATCAGCCGTAAGCGTGAGGCGTGATCACGGCTAATGTACACACAATGATTGTGAACGTATGCGCGTGAGCCGAGATTTGATTCTTATATACGGCTGTAGGAATGGGCCGTGGCGTCGGCTCACGCACGTATGTTCACGATTGTATGCACATTTTAGCCGTGATCACGCCTCACGTTCACGCCTGATTTCGGCCATGATTCCTCGACAATGTAAACACCGTTTTATTTCCAATGCTGAAAGAATCCTAAAAGTTTATAAGAAACGTATCTGAGATACGAGATACGAATGTAATCAAAATTTTATCTACATTTTGCGAGAGTTTTAAAATGACCCATCCCGGTATATCTATAACAAGTATACCACATAAAAATCTTAGAAGGAAAAAAGAGAAAAGAGGGAACGAATTTATAAAATTAATCTATATTTATATTTTAATAAAAGTCAGAGGAAAGTTTAGAACCTAAGACGTTTTAAAAATGAGTAATAATTATAAAATATGCCAAGTCATTTTGACCTCCTTGGTAGTTCTAGTGTTAAAGAATATTATATGCCATTTTATGAAAGTTGCGTCGAAGGTGATTTTCCGCGACGAAGAGAATCTCCATGCATTTGTTACAGCAGTAAGGTCGGGTTACTTTTTCAATTCGTCACACTGCAATGCCACATCGGAATTGCCGTACATAATCTTTAATTAACGTCGATTGGCTTTAATTAATGTTGCAGACCGTTTTTGCGAATAATCCTCTCAGCGGGCTGCTGATAATAGTTACCTTGGCTGTGGTAACGCCAGGTACATTGATGTTGTCTGCGGCTACCGCTGGCCTTGGCCTCTTACTGTCCGTGGTATGTTTTATTAATTTATTAGCCGCGGTGTCCAGCGGTCTGTTCTTCGCCAAAAAGATGCAATACACTTTTTTGCCGCATTGCGCTCGAGAGACTGACCCTAGTTTCTACCGTTACTATTCATACGCGACGATGCATCATGACGACGAACGCTCTCGCTATCTCGTGTTCATCTCTTTTGGACTTAATGGACCGTTTGCGTGCATACGGGGAAAAATCACTGCAATGCGGCACCGCTTTTCGCCTGGCAGCGACCCGAGGAGGGATTCTAGCGCGGAATCCTCCGCCGCGGAACTTCGCTATGCGATTCAAGAACCGCGCTTAAGAACCCTCCGTTCTTTTGCAGCTCATACGAGAACCCGATGCTATTGTAGAAAACGGATTAAGCGTCTACAATCCTCTACTGGTCGGGGCCGTATCGTACAGTCTGATACCGCAAATTTACGGAGGCTTCGACTCCTTCAGCTTCCTACTCGTGCTCCTGGCGACGATACTCAGGTACATTCAGTTATTTCACGTTCCACGGAGTATCTGGAAAATATTCCATGACGCGGGTAATAAACCGTAATTACTTTTCAACTGTCGTAAATTATACAATAAAATGCGCCCGAAGTGCATAGAAACGCGGAAATAATAAACGATAAATACGCTTTCGGAAATGTTGTCCAATGTTCATATAGACACATAACGCCAATATAGGTATGCGTTTGAAATAATCCTATATGTAAACAAATTATTTATTTGTAAATAACATCTTGATGGAGATATACTGACATTTAATTAAGTCGAAATATATAATTAATTATTTATATAAATTAATATAAATTGATGTTGATAATTATGTTATATTGTCAGAGAGAATAACGGTTTATGCATTTAATGCACAGTGGCGTAATAATGCCTTAAAGCTAGAACTTTACGCATTCAGCATTACGGATAATGTTACGAGTTTAGACAACTCGAAGCTGAACGTATATAGTATAGATAGAAACTAACGCGAAACGCATCATGACAGTCCCGGCTTGAGATTCGAGCAAGATATCTGGAATAATTTGCGACGGTAGATTATGCGGCAAACCGGATTAACCGGATTACTAGAGTTAGCCGGAGTTCACTCGTCATCCACCACGTTGTGACTGGGTGGTGCAACGTTCACAAATTTCAACAGCTCCTGGTTAATGTTTTCCAGCGTTTATCTCTCACGGTCCCTGAGAAGCGATAAATTCTCATGCACAACGTGGCCATTTAACTTGGTGGAATTCACATTGATTTTCGCTCTCTCAACGCAGAATGGGGCGGATATGGTAGCCAAATCTGTGGAACCAATGTTTGAAATGGTAAATTAATTTTATATATGTATACATGATAGTTTTAATGATTACACAAGCATACATTATTGCGTAGAAATAACACGCATTTTAATAAAAAATAATTGATATTAAGAGATATATTTAATAAATTAGATAAAATGAATAAATAAATCTCCTGAAATGTTACAATTTTGCCATTTGTCAGTAAAGACACTGATGTAATGTGTCTTTTGATAAAAAAAAGTCGGAGCTAATAAAAAACTCATTTAATAATAATCTTCTTTATATAAGTAGGTATATAATTTAATGAGAAGAAAACAGAGGGAGATGAGATTAATGAAATACGTCAAAGGCATTTTACTTGATAACTGCTCTCATTTTAAACAACAGGAAATGAGCGCTCGAGGTAGAATCACAATTTTAAGGTGTTGGTCCCGAACGAGAGTAAATTTGATGAGAATAGGGCGGGGGCTTCGACGCGGAATAAAATTCGCTTGGAAAAGCGCTCTCAGTATTCAGACCATACATATTTGACGTGCCTTCACGAGGGAGAATGCTATCCTCCGTGGGTAGGAGCATGGCTTTTCTCCGTATTGATCAAACTCCAGCACGAACAACTCCGTCAGCGATATACTTACCTCGGCTCGGATTTATTTCGACCTAACTAGTCGCCGGTTTGTTTCAGTTAAATATTGGGCAAGTTTCTCTCTGCATTTCTCTTTTTCGCAGATTGTTTCCCGTTGGCAAATAGCACTGCAACAGTGGAATATATGAAAATATTGCTCAGTTGGGTGGCTCCCTTTCGCGTATACGTAAATATATTAACTTCTATGTACGTTGTGCGAGAGCGTGCCATTATTTCTGCCAGCCTGGATCCTCGTGATAACTGATAACACATGAAACATTAACTTTTGTATTCTCGTATAGTTGAACTTCGCGATTCCCGCACGCGGAGTAATATCTAATCATAAACAAGAAAATTTGCAAAAAATCGCAACTGCGCGAAAAAAAGTGTGTATACCTTCTTTCTTACAGCTGCGAAAAAGTTTCTTCCTCGCGTTACAAAAATTTACGGCCGAACTCGACGCGCGTAATGGAACATAAATTACTCCTCCATGAAGCATATTTCATCATAAAATAGTTTGAACCTTCTCTACACTCGTCGAGTGACTGCAGCGTGTATTTCTCCGTCATGCACGCGGGTTATTGTGCAAGACTCTCTCATTGTTTTCAGCACAATGCAACAAGTGAGACGATGACAACGGACGGCGCCGGTTTCTACGAGCAGAATGCGACCGGCGTTTACCTCGACTGGGGAATGGTAGAGTTTACTCATGTTCTACTTTTTCAAACTTTACGTACTTGACTTCGCATATATTAGCATCTCGAGGGTCTCAAGAAGTACCACAAAGCTTCATTAGTTGCGCAGTTTCATATTCGAAACCTATGATTACTTTTCCAATTGCAAATATACTTATATACAGTCAAATCTTATTACCCAAGGCATTTCAACAAACTTTCAACTTTCATTGTTTGCATTTCGCTACATTGAGTTTTTCATATATTGGTACAGTGTTGCTAAATAGGAGGTACTTTTAAATTTAGACTTATTGAATATTGTAACAATATCAAGAGACGTTTGTTGAAACAGAATTTCTTTCGTAGCTGTTTAGAATAACTGTGTATTTGTGGGGCGTATAAAAGTAAAATGGAAATAAATATATCCGTACCTCGGTTGCTCGAGGGAAACGCTGGAAAAGGTATATAAATGGAGATATCAATCTATTTGCTTGTCCTCAAAGTTAAATCGTGTTTCAGGTTGTACGAGGCAGCGTTGTCTCTGCGTCACAACTGTACGGAGTTGATAATGTGGTCCTTGGGTCTATCATGTATCTGGCAATGTTAATATACTCGCCTCTAGCGACCGTGTTTTCGTATTTCGGCGCTCTCTGCGGAACATTCGCAGGTATTTAAATAATTTTTATACAAAATTTACATACAAAGAGATCGGAAAAGATATGAAAAGAAGAGATGAGGAAATTATTGATCTACAATTAAAATGTATATTTAATAGGGTATATAAAGTAATTAACGCGGCGTGAACTTTCTCACGAGGGATAAAGAGCATTAATTTTAAGATGAAAACTTGAAGAATATAAATTATCATCGTCATAAATTTTCCGTTAGGTTTGGAGCTCGGAGCGGACAGGCACAAAGCTTACAGCGGGATGTGGGGATACAACAGTCTGTTGACCGGGGCTGCTTTGGGAGGGAATCTGTTAGTGCTGAATGGTCAAACGGCCTTCTCCGCTATCTTGGCGATTATTTACACTCCACTCCTGCAGTACGCCATAGAATCGATATTTGTAAAAGTGACTGAAGCCTCTCTTTCTGCTCGATTAATTCGCAATGTCTCGCAGACTCTTAACATTTTATTAATATTTCAGACGCAGTTGCCGGTGCTGACGCTACCGTTCGTGATAGCGACTTCGTTGTTTCTAAAATTAAGTGACGGCAAGGAGGATCCAACATTTCCATGGCCCGTATCGATCACCTTCCCCGAGAAAGAGCGTTATCGTTATCTCGCCCGTCGTACGGCATTTCGAGAGGTACGTCTCTTCCGATATTTCATATGCTCTCTTCGTAGGCCTCTTCTCCTTCGTCTAGACTCTAGACCCTAGACATAAAATTTTATATTCGCGATGATAGAGGTTCGGGATAAACGGCGTACTTTATCATCGCGACTTATATCGAATTCCATCCCAAACCTGATTTGTGACTGAAACTTTTCTCGCGATAATATGGTCTCAGGACCCATCAAAACCACGCCCTACATTCCCTACAAGGAGGATGGAAATTGATTTCTGCCCTACTCTCATTTTGTGCGTAGGTCAAATTGTTTACCGGGCAAACGTTTTTTTAAACTAAAAAAAAGAAATAAAATTATCGACGCTCGAATCGTAATCATAATTAATGATCTACTTGAAAAGCTAAAAAAAAAATAAAATTTAAAATTTTATTTTTAAAATTAAATACTAAGCAATATAATTACTACTTTTTTTATTACAAGTGATGACACATTAGATTGGATGTACATTTAAGATGTGAATTTAGAACGTGTTGTTTAAATTTGTGCATTATTGTAGGAAGATCCTGCGGAAGAACTTGAGCTCGTCACCCGGAATGAAAGGAGGCCAATCCCATCGGATAATTAATGGCTTGTCCCTCTCTCGGGTGATATATAATTACAATTTAGTATTACGTAGGCGACAATTTTGCACGTTTTTCATATCGCGTCTTAATCTCCTCTTAAAATAATCTCCTATCATTTTTAAATATTTATTCAAATGTAGGTATTTATGCTTGACTAAAAATTGATCATTTAGCTTGATTGAACTCGCCGAATATTTCTGACAATGACATTCAATTTAAGTAACGTCAATTCAACAACCGAATTTATCATTTGTATCTTCTCAAATGGAAAAGGGTATCCTTTTTACTGATTCGCTCACGCGGAATAGATAAAATTATTCTTACGGAACTTGTGAACATACACATCTTTCAAGTATCGGTGAATGTTAATAGGATCGGCTAACAGTTTTGTATTATATAGATAGAAGAATGATAGTTAGATATAACTAATCTATTGTAGCCTGTACAATATTCTTTATAGACCAGTAACAAAGATAATATATGTTAAAACTTTCGAAAAGCACGAGATAAAAAATTTACGACAACAGACGAATACATAGAAATATTTAAGTTATACATTGCGCTTACAGTAAAAAAATTCAAAAGTTATAAAAAACGTGCAATAATATTAATTTGCTAGAATTCTATTTTAAAGGAAAAAAATCTAATTTTTCAAGCCGTGCACGTACGCTCTCCTATTCGTATGCAGTTCTCGCGCTAACGTCCCAGAAACGTTTCTGATTCCACCAAGATTCTTCGCCGCGTTTCCAGATAATGGCGTACGTGCTAATCGTTTTATCTCGCGTGGGCGATTCACGACAAGGGCGGGAAAATGAGATATGGAGGCTTCTTCTGGTGGAAGGGGGATTTTTTCGGCGGGGTGCCTTTTTATTGAGCTACGAGAAGCTACAGGTCGATCGATGAAATTTATTTCAACGCTTTGGCTGTCACGGGTCATAAATTCGATCGCTAGATTTTCAGAGAAAGTGAAATTGTACCAGGGGAGCCATATATGGAGCTCAACTGCTTACTGCTACTGGATTTCGCTTCTAGATTCTCGATTCTCACACATTCGCACGCGAAGGCAAACCGCCGCGAAATATAAGGCAAACGAAATTCCGCACATGAAGAAAATAGAGCCCGATTGGAACTCTTTTAAACCGAATGGATGGCGACGAGTAATCTGCAAAAGAAATTCGTCCCGAGGACGTTTTAACAAAGACGAGGCCACCCCGAGGGCCTTCTTCGACGCCGGCCGACCTAATCAAACTAGCGAACAGAGCGCCTTACTGCTCGTGTCGGAACGACTGTCACAGTTCGTTCTCGTTCTTCAAGAAAGGAGAGTAAATGAAGAAAAGTAGAGCGAGATTTCTGATTCCTCGCACGATCGTTACTTCTAACGCGATTGTTACTCTGGCGTCATTTTTTACTTTTAATTTGCAATTTGAGGTTTATCTAATCTTGGTTATTAATATTAAGAGTGCGTTATAGCATGTTACGACGTTGTTAAAATGTAGAATTTTATCTTCGTCTGGTACAGCAAGTATCACAATCTATCTTTATAGCGTAACCCGTAAACTGTGCTGTTGCAGTAAGTAATAAAATGATTTATACTTCGATAAGCCTGGTTTAACACAGGGCCCAGATGCCTCCGCAAAGTCGGCTTTTCCTCTGCGAAACCTGTGTAACGGACAATTTCACATAGATAATTATATGCGATAGTACGTTAAAATTAATGCTGGTAATTTGCGGTTTTCCGACACACAGTTTACTATTTCGGGAGTAATTAAAGACCAATCATTTCAATTTGAAACATCAACTCACTCACTAATAGCAGGACAGTGAGTACGTTACATATTGATAATTAAATTGCGAGTTAAAGTTTAACTACACTAGAAAATTTATTTGAAATTAAATTAATATTATTAATTGTACACATGATTCTCTTTGCATTATTGAAATGTAATACTTGAAAAGTCTCACAGTACTCGAGAACTTTTTATACCGTAAAAGCTATTGATTCTTGGATATTTTAAGAGCTGCCATCCATTTTAGTTCGGCTTTGAATATTTCTAATCCGGCGAGAAAAGAAGACTGCGCAATTTATGGAGCGTACGATATACCCCGTCAGATTAATTAGCACACAAACCTACATTTCAAAGTTCGCTGAAACTGGCGCGTGTTCGCGTGCAGAAGAAAAAGCGCGTGCGAGGTATGGTAGTAAGGACTTTAAAGGATAAACATCTCGGTTCGTTGGCACCCTTAGAGTCCAGCTCTCCAGCTGGGAGAAGGGAGAGAAGAGTCGTTCGTCGACGGTGACGACGGCGCCGACGTCGGATGGCCGGTGCTGGTGGTGGTAGTGGCGTCAGGAAGGGGTAGGGCTGAACGCATCCCTGCCAGATCGGCTACCTGCCTGCCGCCAACCCTGTCCGTTCCGCGACGCTACCCCAGTACTCGGGCGATCGCTAGCACCCGCGCACGCGACATCCCTCCGTCGGGGGTGCGCGTCACCGTGTGTCTGCATGTATGTGTGTGTGTGCGTGCGTGCTCGCTGAGGGTGCTGCCGATCGCAGTGGCAGCCACCAACGTGGTGCAGCCAGCAGCATGACGTAGCCCACCCCGCGTGGCACGCTAATAGCTCGATCAGCCCTCGCGCCCTGTGCCGCGCGAGGGTGCACAGGGTGCCTAGAAACGTCACGACCTCTCGCACTAGGCGTACGAGAGAAGAGAGAGAAAGAGAGAGCTAGGCTGTGGACCTCTGGTCAGCATCCGCGAGATAGGAGTAATGTAGCGTCGCCAGTAAATGTGTACGGAAAAATCGCGAATAGTGAGTAATTTATAACATGAGCAAGTATTGTCTTAGGCCGCGGCAAGTAGTAGTGTCCGTATTTGTGTGTGACAACAAGCACTCACGTTCGGTTGACAGATCTATTACACTCTGCTTCAGTTCCTGTCTCTTTGTCTCTTGTTTGCTCACTTTTCTCTATTCGTTGCAGATATCTCTCTTATTTTCAACAGTCTACTGTTTCTTAAAAAAAAAAAAACGATTTTGATGATCAAACTCATACCCGTAACGCTCTCATTGCGTGGTCCGAGATCTCTCATTTCTATCTCTTCGCTTTAACAGTAATCCGATACTTTCTTCGGACATATTTTTAAAAGTTCTTTCGCAAGAAAAAGAAACGCGTGTTTGCGACGTCTCATTTTTCCGAGGCTCTATATCGTCATTCCGTCGCTCTTTTTGTCTACATTCGGCTAGCCCCCTCGTGTACACTTTGTTTCGGCGCCTCTTCCCACTTACGAGATATCATGTGTATCCTCGGGATAGCTATATATCTCCTCCTTTATTCCCTGGAGGGACACGAGAACGGTGAGGTGTTTGGAGTCTGTGGAAGAAGGATTGCTTGGAAAAATTGAGGACGACATGAGCGGATTGGATACTACGTCATGGTGGTCCTAACGAATAAATTAGGACGATGTTCGGAGATAGCCATCAAGGGATAGTCTGAAGCTCCAGCTCTCGCATTTTCACGTATTCGTGGATATCCGGCTCGCGATACGGACGTAATCGCGGGATCGTCGGATAATTCAAAGCGCGAGAAAGTCCCCACATAGCCCAAGCATTCTCGGCATATCCACATAGTATCGGGTAGCTTTATGGTCAATCGGCTGCCAAAGCGTATTGATGTGTATCGGTTGCGCTAGCCGACCGAGTCCTTCAGATGCTTTGACGCTAGAGCGATGATGCTTGCCAACGAGCCACTTCGCTCGCTCCATCGTTTACCGCTTTTTATGAAAAGAGAAATTTCACCCTCTCTCACCGCATTTAAATTAGAAAGGGGGCTCTCTAAAGAAGTAAAGAATCTCTTTCCAATTTTATTATTAAAAGTAGAGAGTATATGTAGATGATGTGATATTTTAAATTCGTAAAATTATATTTAAGGACTTCTCTGTTAGATTTTAAACAATATTTTATATTCGTTGTTAAAACGCTATCAATATTTTGTGTGCAATATAACGTATAGTAAATTCAATCGCATTGTTAAGATAATCTGTCGAAGTGGGCCGATAAAATGGCTTTTAGTTATTTATCTGTTGAAAACATTCCTAAAACGCTTTCAACAATATATATCCACCAGAGAATGTTTAGTACTCGCGTATTGTTCGAAGCTATTCAAGGTATTTAAGAATCTAAAAATTAATCAAGTATAATAGTTTAATCACTCAGTAACACGATGTAGCTAATTATTTGTAATTTTTAATATTTCATCTCGGACTCCAAAGAAGTTTCAAAATTTACGGATCGAAATCCAGGCAATCCCGATTTAATAACAAACGATTATCGCCTAGAATCTCGTCGTTGCGAGATTTTAGCATTGGACAACTCCCAATCCCAGTTTACTCGGGATGATCTCCTCGCGGTCCCTCGCACCGCATTCCAGCCGGACATATGGCCTGCGTGTTTCGACCGTCCTTCGCATTGCGTCGTACGGAGAGGAACGGGGTCATTAGCTACGCGGGGGTAGTCGGAATGGGTCGTGGGAAATCGCTCGAGCAGAAACTACCACCACCGGCGCGATTCTGATTTTGTTTTCGAGAGGGTCCCAGTCGATCCATCACCGTTGCTCTTGCTGCTTTAAGCTTTGCTTAACAATAATGTCTCAACGTAGATCGTTCCGATTAGCCAGATATCTCGGTAAACCGCGCCACAAACACGATTTTTTACGTTTGCGAAACACGCGATAACATCTACGAGGGTTGTGTCGCCAAACGACACTCAAGTGCGTGTGTCTGGGTGATTTAAAGGGTTCGAAGGACTTCAAGTTTTTTGAAGAGAGCTGAGAGCAGCCTGGGGCGTCGCAGCTGATCGTGGAAAATCGATGGACGATTGAAGAAGATTAGCTTTCGCCGCGTTAAAACTGTATATCCATTGGAAGGATACGACCAGCGGTGTATCTCGTTAACGGACACCGAGATCTCGCAATCTGAAAGACTGAGAAACGTGAAGCAACATCGGCAAGCGGCATCGGGGTTTTCGGGCTGTTCTCGACATCCGCGCGTGTATATCTGCCGCGAACAGTGAGTCCGATTAATCGTCCCTGATCGTCCCCCATAAAGCAGACACTTGTGGAAGCAGATATACTCGCGTATGATGGAAACGCGAGCGCCGGCGGAGCCGCTGGAAGAAATTTACGGCAACCGCGGGGAATCATCCGCCTCGTCGAGCACGGCGAATCATCTGATATTTGCCATCAGATAATGCATAGCCGTCGCCGATAATGGAGCGCGAATCCGGCTGAGAATCGCCACGCGAAGCTGACCGTTGCAGCCGAGAACGGTTCGCCGAACATCGATTGGCTCCGGGCAACCGAACGAATCCAGAATCCAGACTTCTAGACTCCTTCCTGACCCGACGATCGAGGCGATCGAGCTAATATCGGACGCGTGCAATTACATCTGCGGGGAATCCTCTCGACCGCCGTGATTTTCGATCCGCGGCGACGGAGAAGCGCGAGAAATTGGAATGCACGTAAAATTGATCAATGTTTCATCTTTCTTGCCAATCGCGTCGGTAGAGCAACAAGCAAACAAAATTGAGTCAGATACCGCCGGCAGGATGCTTGCGCAAGTATCGGGATATTTACACAAATTGCGCGCATCATTTGGCACGCGAGAGAAATAGAAACGGGCGTCTCTCTTTCTGCTTCCCGCTCGTTTCCGACTCGGTGAAGAAGGGAATAGCAGTCCCGAAGAAAGATCTTTCCCTCGCCCGGCGGCCGTCGGTGGAAAGAAGCAAGAAGCGCTTGGCTGCTAATGCGGACTTATTGGAACAACGGTGATTACCAGCTTTTATGCGGCTTGTAGCTGTTATCGTTACCGGGGAAGAAGATCGTTAACAGCGTCCGGAAATCCTGCGGAAGATTAATGAACGGTGCGCGGTCGGCGGAATAGCATCGCGGCGGCGATAGGGGGGATCCTAACTTAACCGATAAGGAATCGCGGCCGAGAAAGAACAACGTCGCGGGCTTCCTCGCGTTTTCTTTCTCTCTCTCCCTATCTCCGGTGTCGAAGCGATCGGTGACAAAGGCTTGATGTTGTCGCGCTTCCTGCAGGAGCTATCATCAGCGGACAACAGGAGTGCCGTCGCGGCGAAACGGAAGGAGGAGGGTTTGTGATCGTTTCGGCAGCGGGCCGATCGTTCCCGCGCCACCACAACCGATCGCGGTAGCGCGGCGGCGATCGCCACGATCGCCGTCGATGAGGGGGGTGGTGATGTGACAGCGGTGGCAGCGAAGGCAGCAGCAGGCGAAGAGATGACGGTGACGGTGACGCCGTCGACTTCCGACGTCGCCGACAAGGCGGTGTCGACGGACGACGGCGGCAGCGGCGGCATGGAAGTGGCGCGTCTCGAGGCCGTTCTCGCCGCCCTGGTGGAGACGAAGGTGGAGGCGATGAAGGCGTCGTCGACGCTCAGCCGACGTTCCGGCAGCGCGCCCGCCAGTCCACGCCGACCTAGATTGACCTCGACCTCGACGGCCTCCTCCTCATTGAACCATCACCATCATCATCACCACCATCACCATCATCATTCGCAACAGCAGCAGCAGCACAACAAGAAGAAGGGTCAGCATCATCATCATCAGCAGCAGCACCATCGCCATCGTCGCAGACGTCACGATTCCGCGCCCTGCGGAAGTGATTACCTCAACAACGTGACGGATCATCCTCAGCACAAGTTGTCTAACGGTAAGAGAGTAGTTGTTAACGATAACATAATCGACGATAATTGGTTTAAACTTTTTAAATCTCTAAACACAAAATTGAGTTTAAGTTTTGAATTTTTTTAAGTTAAATCCCTTTGCACACAAAGTAAGATATTAGGAGATTTTACTCTGCGTGAGCGAGTCTGAATAAAAAATTAAATATACGTTTAGTTTAGTTGAACATGAATATATTGTGATAAATAAAAATAATACCACATAGAGTTCTCTCTCTCGTCGCGATGCATAAGGATAACGAAAACATTTACAGGGTTAAATATTGATCAAGGCTGAGCGACATTCGCTAATTGTTTTCCTTTTGTTTGCCAGGAAGGGGCCGGAGAAGGGCCTCTGAAAGTCCTCGAAGCCCTCGAAAGAAGCGCAGGCATTCGAGGAGCCCAAATATTCTCCAAGGCGTCGTCCAAGACGTTCACGCCGGCCTCGATTCGCGCTTCGAGCTGCTCGGCATTGATGGCGATCAAGACGTGGCGCTAATAAATTTCGAAAGGGCTAAAGAAGTCCTCGGCGACTCCTGCGAATATCCGCGGCTGCACCGAAGTGCCTGCTACTTTTCTCAAAGCGCAGCTCAATTGTGAGTACTTAAAATATGATTGAACGCGATATGATAACAGTGCCAGTAGGACAAACTTTCGATGGATTTCGTAGGAAAAATCAGATTTTTCCTGGAGTCGAGTCACCCTGTCGAGATATTTTCTCAACGCTGAGAATTAGGACGTCGCGACAAAAACGCCTTCGCTAGGAATAAATCGACTTTAAATTCCACCAGAACTGACTTTATCCTCTCCCGTGGAAATTCGTGGAGCGTCTCAGGAAATCTTCGCATGTACTTTGGCATAGTTTCCGCATTTATCGTTTCGGTAAAGCTGCGTCGCCGCTATGTAACAAACTCTCTCCGTACTCGCGAGCCTTCGCTCGCCGTCTTCTCGTTTATACGGGATCACCAGGAGCGTGTTGCCGCGACTCTCGTCCTTCTTCCATATTCGATCGGCCGACCACGAGGAGAGAGAGAAAGACACGGTTTCGGTGAGCCAGCTTATTCGGAACTGGGTCAGCGTGGTGCGTGGTTGCGCGCCTCTGTCACATGCCGCTCTCGGCAAATATGGTTTGGCGGTTGAACGTTGAACCACCTGGGCGACAAAGGACGAGCGCGCCGTTGGAGCGTGTAATGAAACTGAGGAGATAGCCAGCGGCGATTAGCGATCACGAAGAGGCGTCCCGCGTATTTTCTTTTTTAATTTGGCCAAGCAATTTCAAAATCACACTAAAATCATAGGCGGATTTGATAACATTTGATTACGCGACATGAGACCTGGAAGAGATCTCTTATAACTGTTTTATATTGATTAATTTAGTACTGAAATCTCATGGTTTATCACATAATTTTAACAGTTTAGTACTTAAATTAACAGTTTACATTTAAAAATAATTTTTATTAATGATCCTAAAAGTATATTTTTGTATCGCAGATAAAAGTACATTTAATTAAGCAGAAAGATATTAAAAAATACAAATGTTTCAGAAATTTATATAAATTGCAATAATTCGTTGAAAAAAATGAAATATTTTTAAATTTTTAAATTGTACTGTTAAATTGTATTCTATACCGTTTGGTTAAACGTAATATGATGACAAGAGTGCCCTAGATATATGTTCAAGATCGTGGGATAACATATCTTGACAGTTATCAAATAACTGTCCGATATATCGTAAAGGCAATATGAATCAAAACTTTTTTTTGCACGAGAATATAGCTGTCAGAACGACTGATTCAACATCGTCCGACGTTTACTACTTGATACGGTTTTCTCTCGATACGATTAAATCTAGTATATCAATTTACTTTTCTCTCTTTCTTTATCGAATATCTCCTTTTAATTGAATATCCTGTCGACGTAGGTAGAGAGGCTTCTATTTATAAGCTTTTCGCATTTCTCCCGATAAACGTTATTAATAGATGAACTTTGGATATAATATATTTTTAATGCCCAGGAATTAACTTTATCGTTGCGTAAATGTAGAATGACGAAAAACGTGTATTGACGTATTCCGGAAGAATACAATTTCTCTTAACAGACGCGACGAAAAGTGTGCAAGCGGCGATAATGCTCGAATCGCCATTGTCTGACCACACGTCGGCTGTTATCACTACTTCGAATTTCATCCAGTCGTCCACAATGCCCCGACACCTCGGCTATCGTTTTTCCACTTTTCCGTCCTATTCCAACGGCATTTTCTAAAATTATACTCAGAGAGCACGTGATGGCCTTGCGTGTATGTGTATGTGTGTGACGTAGATAGTCCAACGATTGTTCTTTGTTCAGCTCGATATCGGGGTCTGCTTCTCTCGTTGGCTGTTGTGAACGCATATCGAATTGCTGGCCCGCTTTTCCGTAGTACGTTATCAAGCTTCGATGTGCAATAGAGAGCAAGTTGAGCAGTTTTATCGCAAATTCATCAAGTAACCTTGTTTGTTGCTCTATATTACTTTTAATACGTCAGCAAAACTATACATAGTTCTATCACACACACTATCTTTATTTTTATCAATACATTTTTAATCATTTTGTGTTGAATATTTTCCATATTTAATATCAAAGACTTATTCACAGTCTACATTTTTATAATATATAGTAACAATTAAAACTTTTTAATTAATTTCGAATTTTAGTTTTAGCTTCAAGTAGCTTTGAAATATAAATATTGCGTGAAAATTATAGCTACATTATATGTAGTTTATTTTCATGCATTTACGTTTAGTTTCTCAGCATTGCAAAAGCACTGATCTTTGCAAGTTTTTATTCCTCTCGTGCCGTTCAACTTTTTCTCTCGATGAAAAATGGGGAAATAGCCCTAATTCGAAGTTTCGATTGAGAGTATGCAGTACACAACAATGCATGGCCTTTCTGTCGCCGCCACCCGCGTACGGCAAACAGCAACTCCTCGAGATTCATGAACAATGCAGGTACCACGATGATCGATACTCATTCGTCGTTCGCTTTTTTTCGAGCCTTTACAATTGATGCCAGAATCAGAAATGTATTCCGATTGTTAAACGAAGTGCGAGTGAATGTACATTTTAATTAACGACGTTCTATTATAGCTCGAGACGTCTCATTCAGAAAATGAAATCTCATTATACAGACAGCCTGAGAAAAGACGAAGTCAGTCGATTTCTATTTAAACAATCTATTTTTCAGAAATAGGTTTGTTGAGAATTTTTTATATATAATTTGTAAATTTATATTAATATTTATATTAACATATTCTGTTATTAGACGAGTTAATTAAAGGGGGAAAAGTCTATTTTCGTATGCCCGCGTGAGATACACAAGAAAAATGTTATTTTTCAATTTAAATTAAACGTCAGATGCAGCCGGAGTGCTGGCACGTTTCATTTCCGAAACGGTATTGATCGAGAGTAACGATTCGACGAACAATGGCAATAGTCCACGTTGTGGGAACAATAGCTCCGTGTATTATTCCTGCGGTTTTTGCACGTGTTGTTTCAAAGCAAATCGTCGACCTCACTCGAGGTTTCCAAGTATAAACTTTGATTGACGGAGAAGAATCCTTGCTGATCCTCTCTGATCTACTTTCAGAAAAATTCATTACGACGACGACGACTACGTGGCGTTGAACGTAGCCGACGAGCTGGAAGAGGAGGAGACTCTAAGCGGACCGGAGAAGGTGGAGTCTCAGGGAAGGTATCACCGACCACGAAGAAAGCGCAAACGTAAACGACGCAAAATCGATCCCGTCGGTCCGGACGAGGAACTCGTCGATCCGGAGGAACTCCCGCCTCGTGCACGATGGACGATCGTCGCGACCGCTTGTCTTCTGCTCGCCATGTCGTTGCTTCTGGTCGGTGTTACGCTGCGAATGGCGCCTATAATTGACGACATGGGTGAGTCGATTGCGACGATAAATCTCTCGTTCTCAGTCAAATGAAAATCGAGCGTTGCGCATTTATTGCATTTATTACATTTAGGGCCGATTGTTCTAAACTTGTTGGTAAACTAACTAGTAGTTAAATCATATATATGTCTTTGTTTATCCTTTACATTAGACAAAGATATGATTTAACTATTAGTTAGCTTACCAACAGGTTGGAACAACCGGCCCTTAATAACACATTTCTGTACCTTAAGGGTAAAGAATCGTATCTTCACTTTTTGTCACAATGGAGTTGATATTTTTCAATATACCAAGAGCTTAAATTGTATAGTGATAAAGGGTCTTATGTCTATTATTATTAGTTTCTAAAATACAATGAAAAAGTCGTGTTAAAAATTTTCATAGTTCTTTAATTTTAGTCAGGTATAGCGTGTTATTGGCAGTTGTGGTATTAAACATGTCAGTTCCTTTATTAAAAATTACTTTATGAAAAACTCAATAAATCAAGTTACTATTTTTATTTTATTTTATTTTATTTTTGTTTTATATATAAAAAAAGGCACTATTTCGCTATTTAAAACTTTAAATCTTGTTTTCTCCGAATTCATAATGATGGAGATACAATTCTTTACCTCTAAAGTACAGATTTTTATTGTATAATCTACTTTGTTTTATATTTTGTAACCAGTTGCGTTGGCACGATCTTTTTCTTCTTCTTCTATTAAATTTATGGAAAAGACATTCGAGAAGATCTCTTAGAAAGCATTCTATGCTCGATAAACGCGTTTATTCCCTGGCGATTTTATTAGAACGCGATAAAGCGTACGATTTATTACGCACTACGGACTTTTCACGAGCGGAAAGCCATCCAATGGTTGACGTGATGCGTCCGAAAATAGTAGCTAAATAGTAGCGCGGATTTATACGTTTGAGAACGTGGGAGAAAATCATGTCGGATTACCGGCGTTAAAATATGCAAGGCAGTCCCGAGGGTGGTAACCTCCGGATGAAGTTGCAAAGCATTAATGATTTAATGCATCTTTATTATACAATCCTGTTGGAGGAACGATATTGTCGCTCAAGCAGATTCGATTAAGTGCATTAGCAAGTTCTCGCGAATCAAAATTTGATTAATCCTCTTATCATCTACCATTTGCAATTTTGTAGTTTCTTTCTTGTACATTGATATTAACTCTCTCTCTCTCTGAAGAAAAGTTTTTATTATTATATTAGTGTTTACAATTTGTACATTACATATATAGAACAATTACGGGTTATTCTTTTGAACATTTCTGTAATTTGAACCATGCCATGCGGATTAAAAGAGTTAAAATACTGTATGTACAAAAATCTCTGTCATGAAACATCTTTCTAATTACTTCAAGTGATTTACATAATTTTTTAAATTATGTCTGATCTATCCAATTTTCATCGAAGCACTAATATAATTTTACAAGTGCACAGTATTATAGGACTAATTATGATGAAATTAACGTCCTTGAGAATGTGTGAAGTGACACAAGGCTAGCGTTCGGTGATAATTTGGTTATGGTAATTGGCAGGTTAATTCCGATGCGACAACGGTTCGGTCAACGTCGTTAGCGGTTTCGTGGTGGACGTTTACCTTCCTGAAAACCACAAAACCGCGTTTCATCGTACGCTAGAGGTAGCGAACCGTCAATGGTTCTGTAAACCGAGGCTTTCTCCGTGAAGGGAAGGAGGTCTTTACCAATTAGCTGGGTAGCTTTACGTGCAACGGCGACTGATGATGACACTCCAGAATGTCGCATCCGACACGAAAGTACGCTGCTTCAAGCCTATGTATAAAGCTGTAAAGCGTGCAGAATACATACGTACGTGCAATACACGAATTTCCACCGGCACAAATAAACCGTATGCAGCGTGCGAGGTCGAGGGCGCTCCGCGTTTCTAAATTAAAGGCGCGCACGTCTGCGAATCCTCCAGTCAGCCGTCGGATTTCCGCAGCTGAGCCACCTTGAGGCTCGCACTCGTCGTTCCACGGTCGAAAGGCTCTCGCCGACAGTCGCTTTCGACAAATGTGTGTCGTCGTCTTAGCGCGCGCGCGCGTCAGCGACGTGTCTCGCTGATCCAGAGTGTCGTTGATCCTGTTGTGACGACCGAGTGCCGCAGGATACAGGATGTTATCCCGCAGCGAACGCGATTATAGTTGCGTCGGGTGACCTTCCCGTCGTGGTCGTGGTCCGGGATCGGGAGAGCACACCACGCGAGAAATGGAATTAAAGTTTTAAGACCAGTCTCTACACTTCCGGGTGTCCGGGTTTTTCTCTCTTGCGATGTGAAATTGTTAGAACGGGTCTACGGGAATTAACTCTCGTCTCTCCTCGAGAGGAAACAATTTCCTGGACATCCGTGCTCGAGAGCAGTAAGGCAAAAATAAAACCCGCGCTTTCGTGGAATCGCCGGCGGCAAGAGCAATGCGATTTTAACGCTTCGAGATTCTAAAGATCGCTTAACGGCCGTTAAATCGCTGACACCAGTAACGATTATGCGAAATAAAAAAAGTGGGATTATTTTAGAGATTAATTATCGTCGAGATGAAAAATTTTCCGGAAAATCTCGCTCTGCGATTGGAGAGAGATAGATGTTCAGATAATATATTTAAACACTTTGTTGCCTTAATGCCGTAATAATAATGATTTTTATTTATTGTAAAACTTTTTTGAATTTCCTTTAGACTATTTATCTGAATTCTGCTGAAATGTATTAAAATTTATATTTTTTAAAACTTTTCCTAGCTATCAGCAATATCCGTTTCCGATAGAACGCGTCAAAGTGCGGATGACGTTGTATAAATACACCATCGCGCGCGAAATCAACAAGTCAGAGTCGATACTGGAACTTACATGGTTCAAACGATGTTTCTACGTCGAGAGATTTGCGGAAGCGGATGTCATCGTGTGCGGCAGGTCGGAAGCGTTGCGGTATTATTGATCCAAGGAGATAAGATTATTAATCTCTCCTTTGATGATTCCCGACACAAACGTTTAATAATATTTAGCATCGTAGCTAATAAACTCCCAGAAAGAAATCGCGGCAGAATGATTTTAAATCGTGCGCGAAATTAATTTTTCAAGCATCACACGAAAATTGTGAAAATTAATTTTTGTACATCTCTTTATCTTTTCACTCATACTTTGACAGTTTATGCGATTTCAACATTTTCTTGCCATGAGTACGTTTCTCTTGGATAAGAGTATAGGGGTATTCAAATAAGTTAGAGTTTAACGGTTTGACAGGTTATGTCGGGTTAAAGTCGAGTAAAAAGTTAATTTTTAAACTTTTAACCCAAAGATTAATGTGATAGGTTAATGAGTCACTTATGTATTTTGCATAACCTTAAAGAGTAGCGCGCCCAAAGTTAATTAATTAACTTTTTACTCGACTTTAACCCGACATAACCTGTCAAACCGTTAAACTTTAACTTATTTGAATACCCCTTATGAATTATTATTAAGCAAAGTTTATAAATTTCCCCGCAAAATGTCATGGGATTGTTAATCTTTGTGAGATCGTGTCGTAAACGGGAAAATTATTAATTGCAGGCTGTATAAATATCCAGCGATATTTGTGTGTCGTGTGTTTACATTTAAATCAAATCTATTGTGGATTTCAATTATCTTCAAATGTCGTTTACATATATTTATATTCATATATATATAAGTATATACAATATCGATTAATTCTGAGTTTTTACAAAACGCCGGGTTTCAACAGTTAAATGTATTGGATGTTGTCTCATGCTCAAGCGGGGAATTGTTTGCAAAAATGGTACTGTATTGATTTGCACCAGATATACACGACGTTCCTTTGTGTCCGCTTTGTCGACGCCAATATCTAGAACATTTTAATTGAATATATATATTCTTCGTCGCACAGATTTGTAACGTTTATATTTGCCACAATTTCGAGAGTAACGTTCAGTCATTCGACATATACTGTTGCGTTATCATTGAGTTAAATAAAATGATAAGCTTAACATTTTTGAAAAAGAGTGAGATACACTCTCTTTTTATCTTAATGGATATTAAGTAGTTTATACTATTAACTTTAACGTTCCTGAATTTATATTCACTTTTTCTTTAACATCCTAATTATAAAACATCTCTTAATAATATACATCTGATATACGATACGTTTTTAGACTATTTTGCAGACACATTTAGTCTGTTATACCGTTTTATAGGAAGGAAATGGATTAATTTAATTGTTTTAAAGCAAATTCAACTCTCGCTTGTTGGACGTACGCGAATTTGAGGAAACACAGCGAAAGATAGCTGTCGAATGTCTATAATCATTGTAACGTGATCGGCAACATTACCAGGCCTCGTATTGATCTTAAATTCGCAAGATGACTGTCTGCGCGCAAATTTCACGGGAAGGTATCTCGTTTCGGCGATTTACAACATCGCGTTTACATCGTTTCGCGCTCAGAACCGAAAATCAGGTCAGGCCTGAACAACCGCGGTCTGATTTTCGCCACCGTTCGATTTTGACGTAGCACGTCATTAAAGGTACGGATATAGAGCGATCGTCATTGCTGACATTTGGTTACACCCACAACTGCTGCAGTTGATTCATTACGATCAATTCCTCGTCAATCATGCGTTTTACGCGCACTGGATCGAGTGATCAATCAATTAGCGGTCTTTAATTACTTCCACCTGACAATTGTATGTTAAATCCTTTGAGTCAATGCTCGAAACCGAAGTCCATAATCCCGCTTCATATATACATTTCCCACATTCATTCGGAACTCGATTGGAAATCCGCTCGTCGAATTCTCAGTTTCAAGTTAACGTCCATCAGGAATTTATTTTATAATACCTATATATCAGACGGCAAATAAAGTTTTACATTTATTCTTCATATAAAACCGCGCGTATTAAAGTCGACCGGTGGCATTGTGACTCTTGTGACTCTGACGCGTTAATGCCGCATTGCTTTTACATCGTGCTCCCGCGTAAAATT